TTCTTTCTCCTCCTTCCTTCCCTCCCTCAGTCAGTCTCGCTCACTCTCCCTCTCTTATGGAAAATGAAAAATTCCTTCACAGACACACACACTTCACCTTCCACAATCTCTTTCTCTGTAAAAAAGAAGGTAAATGGAAATTCAGGAAACATATCAGACTGGTAATTTCTGCATTCATCTCTATCCTCCCTAAGGAGAGAATGACAGAGGATGACATGACTCAAGACCCCTTCGGAAACCTCTGTACCGTCCAGCTTTGCAGCCCTGCCTTTCACTGGCTCCAAGCCTGCAGCTAAACTCACTGAAGCCCTCTCCACCCCAGGCCAGTCTAGCCCTGTCTTTGGTCCTAGGTCTAATGACAAGACATAGGAGTAAATTAGCACCTATATCCCCCTACTTATAGACACTTGCGCCTGTGTGCACTTGTGTATGCACATGTGCGCGCGCGCGCGCACACACACACACACACACACACACCCCCTAGGAACAGGGTAACCTGAGTGGATGTGGCAGCCATGCATGGAGGGCATGGCGGCTGGATGAAGATAATAATTAGCTTCCCTCCTCACTTAATTGCTAGATGGGGCCATTCCTTGATCTATTTTCTTAGTCAAGCTGTACAGTGACTGCATTTTGCATACGGGGACAATGATCTCAGCAAGTGACTCAATTTGCCGAAGATCACCCAGCTGGTAAGAGGTTGAGCTGGGATTTGCACTGGGGTCCATCTGATTGCAAAATCTGTGCTTTATCACCAAATGAAGTTTTTATCCAAGGACACCATAGGAAGGGTGTCTCTAAACAGAAAGCTCTAATTGTGATTTAAGGCTCACATATGAAGGTCTATCAAGGTCGTACCTAGGAAGAGCATGTGAATATCAAGTCAAAGGGTGAAATGGAGCCACAGCAGGGGAAAAGAGAGCTTTTAAAAATGCAGGAGTGTCAAGAACACAGCAGCCTGTTGTGTGGGTATCACCCTAGGGCGAGAGACTCAGGACCTCCGATGGTGCCTGCAGTGAGGGCAGAGGTGAAGGTCAAAGGAACCTGACAGGATGAACAGCTTCCATTGTAATCATGCCTGGGACTTGGGGCTTCTACCAATGACTTCGGCTATCGGGTTTCCTCCTCAGACCCAGCTTTTCCTGGATTCCACAAGGCTCTACCTTATTGACCTGTGTTCCAATGCCCTGCCGATGGCTGCAAAGCCCAGAATCCCCACCTGGTGGAAGAAAACTCCACCTGCTTTCTGCCTGCATCTTGTCAGTGGTTCTTAGCATGCCTGGTGCTCTCTCTGGAATCAGCAGTGAAAGCTAGGTCTGTTATTCTAGCTTTTATTTTTATCCTATTATTGGGAAGAAAAAGCAAAAGATCTGGAGCACTGCACTTCATTCTCCGCCTAGAACAGACATTGCTAGCGGATCATAGCTCTTTCCCAATGGTCTCAATAACCTGCAAACAGCGGTGCAGACAAGCCACTCACTGCCCAGCTGACCAGAATTGGCATACGAGAGCTGCAGGGTATCCTGCCATGTGCCACCCAGCTCTCTATAGTAGATTTTTTTAAAGTCTATAACAACAATGATGAAATGTTGGGAGACTAAGGCCGGCTAGAAATGAATAATGTAGGAACAGAGAAAATGTCTCACCACCTGGGGGGCCCCAGCACCCGGCACAAGGTGGGCAGAGAAGTAGCGCTTGGGAAATGTTCAGTAAACTGAAGAATTAATGGGTGATAAGTGTGACTTTTATTTTTTCATGTGGAATGCACACTTAGAAGTACTTTAGGGGGATGAGAGCAAAACAAACCTCTCGTGGGAAACATTCTAATCAGGCACATTCGCCTCATCTTCCTTGTCTTCCCTGTAATTTCCTGTGGCTTCCACAACTCACAATAGTGGCCAAGGTCTCATCATTCCTAAACCCAAAAAGGCTGGAACATGTGCTTCTAGTGTCTGGGGACAGTGAACCTAGGGGGAAGGAAGCCCTGGGTTCAGGCAGGGATTCAAACACCATCTCCTTCACTAATGAACTGTGCCCCTTGGCTTCTTCAAGCTTCACGTCTCCCTTCTGTAAAGGGAGAAGGGGGTACCCTTGCCTGCTCGATCTGTAGGGTGGATGGGAAGGTCAAAGAAAGGCCATTCGCAAACTGCAGAGAGCTGTGCACTTATTTATGGCTGTTATCCATACCCTATTTGGTCTATTTTCCCCAATCTATGCTACCAAGTTTGGCCCTTCTAGACAAGGAGAAACCACTGTCAAAGGCTTAGATTTTGAAGATTTCATAGATTTTAAAGATTTCTGGAATCCCTCTCTGAGTTGAAAGAAAATCTACAGGTCTTACCCTCTTCATACATATTTCATGAAAGAAATGAGGGTCAAAGTCACACATGAGCAAGGGACGGGACCAGGACCAGAGTCCTCAGCTGATAAACATATTTTTGTTTTATTTGAAGCTATGTTTTATGTGCCTCCTGCATGCCAGGCATTTTAGCTGCGTGATCATTTTGTTCCCCCAAAGCCACACAAGGGAATTACTATCTCTCATTCAATACCCAAGGAAACTGAAACTTGGAAGTCGCTTTACCCGAGGCCACCTGGCAGGTGTGTGGAAAGAGGAGTCAGGACGCCAAGTCCCATCTATCCCACCTCAGCTCCATGCTCTCTCCTCTTCTCACAGTCTCTGCCCCCAAAGCCATCAGCCTCCAAGCTCAGATTCATCTTGGCCTGGTTCCCAGTGTGCAGCACATGTCAGTGACACATAACTTACGGCTGGGGCGAGAAAAGACGCCAGCTCTCTCTGAGGCTGAAGGGTTCTTTCAACTTCAGAGAGGCAAATCACCAGCTTCTCATCTCCACACTCACTAGCATCACTCCCAAACTTAAAAAATAAAACCAGAGCGTTTGATCTGCTATCTAGGTGGTCGTAGCAGGTGGCAACGGAGAGGTAGAAACCCACACAGAACGGCTGAATGGGCTGCAGTGTATCCCCTGGGCTCTTGTTGGGAGCAAGTGTGGATGATGGAAGGAAGAAAAGTGCCTTTGCCAAGTAGGAGCCGGGAGAGGAAAGCACCCAGTTCACCTGCCAAGTCGGCAGCAAAGCCAGGTCCGGAATGAAGGGGGCCCCCAGCTGCTGTTTAACATTCTTTCAGCTCCTCCCCCCTTCTGCATGTAACAGATTCCATGCATTCTCCATATAGAGGACAGGATTTTCTGGAATGAGAAACTCAAGTCCGAGGCCTAAAGGCAGCCAAGGATGGAGATGGGTGAGATTTAGCATCAGACTGGTGTCACAGGCCCCAACTGTGGTACGAAGCAAATTAGTTCAGTGGCCGCAGCGAGCAAAGGTTTTTATAAACATAACCTAATTGTATTACTTCAAAGTCCTGAAGCTTATTGCCCTGCTTAATGATGTGTCACATTATTTATAAGGTAGCACAATGAGACTTCTATTGATTTAATGCACTTCCTTAAAGACTGTCATTGTCACAGCCATAAAACGGAGCTATTCCCAGACAACTCAATTATATCCCTCGTGCCCATAAACCACCTCGTGTCCCACACAGCTGCACACAGGAAGCAGGAAGGGGTGAGAGCGTGATGGAGATGCAAAGCCCCCGGGGACAAACGGGAAGGGTTCTGGAGATGGCAAAGGCGTGTGAGCCAGGACTTCACCCAGTCAGGGGACATGCGGACTCATGAGAAGCCCACGGTGGCCGGTGTAGAATGCCCCAGAGGGGTCTTGGCCCTGCCAAGGGCAGCTATGTGCAAGCCTCCTTCTCCTCTCCGAGCCTTAGTTTTCCCAACTGCAAAACTGGAGTGCTGAGCTCAATGAGATTGTTACGATCCCTTCTGGCTCCCATATTCTGTGGTTGTATAATAATACTCATGGTTGATTTGGAGATGGGGTAGTCTGGCCATATGAAGAGGATGCAGGCAAGTTTTTAACATGGCTCCTCCCCTTTTCCATCAATGGAGAGTCTTTCTTTCTTTCTTTCCTTCTTCTTTTTTTTTTTTTGTAGTTTTTGGCCAGGGCTGGGTTTGAACCCACCACCTCCGGCATATGGGGCTGGTGCCCTACTCCTTTGAGCCACAGGCCCTGCCCGAGAGCCTTTCTTTTATAATTAACTGATAACAATAGCATTCATGATACCAGTAGCCCTTCAGTGTAGTTAAAAGAGGGAAAGCGCATGGGCTTTTGCAACCAGCCCAACTTGGGTTCCAAAGTGTGTCTGTGAATACTTGACTCGGCACATCTGCCACTCATTTTATTCTTTGTGAAATGTACGAAAACACTGACCTATTAAAATACATACATGCATGTGTGCAATATTTCTAACTTTCTCAAAATGCTGTTATATAATCCCCTTAACGTGGGGGGCAGACAGGAGTAGCTACTCCAGGGCCCATTTCATGGGGAAGACTGAGGTAGGACGCGAAAGACCTTCCCTAGGTGAGGGGCAGAAACTGGTCTCTTGCAAACAGTCTGGGGAATTCTAATTCTGATAATAGCTAAGAATCAGAGGGAAGAAATATCGGGTAACCCTTCCTGTGGATAAAAGCCTCTCCATGGAACAGACTAGAAACTGTCCCATTGGTCATAGGGTGATTTTTGTATTTTTTTTTCCGGAGGAATAGGAGTTCTCAAGTTCCCTGAAGGAGAGAGAGAGACGGAAGTGTCACCACTCACCACCCCACCCTCAGCAGTTGTTTCAAGGAGAGGAGGCAGAAAACAAAGAGCCTGTATGAGAAGGCAGAAGTTCTAGAGCCCAGAATACTAATGTGGGGCCTCAGGAAATCCCCAAGCTGAAGGAATCCTGAGAAATCATCATGAGATCCCTCACTCTGCCAGCAGTGAAACTGAAGCTCAGAGAGAGGCAGGCACTTGCTAAAGGCCACACAACTTATACGTGGCAGAGCCAGGATTCAGACCCAAGGCGCTCAGACAGCCGCCTTCCCCATGCCCGCCTGGCGGCCACCTCCAACACACACTCCAGGCTTACCTTTCTGGTACTGGAGCCACAGCTGCTGCTGGACCTTCTTGCTGGGGAAGTGGATGATGCAGGTGAGCTCGGAGCCGTACAAGGCCTCTGCAATGTAGTGGGAGCCGTAGTGCTGGATGAAGGACAGCAGCTCCTCCCGACTGCTCTCCTTGGTCAGGATCTTGAGGACATTGGTGAAGCCTGGACAGTGGAGGAGCAAGGGGAGGTGGTCAGACCTGGGGGGCTCGTGGCTAGCAAATTATACAGGGTGCGCTTTCCAGCCTGGATTTGACACCTTCCCCTCCACTGCAGTAGCAGCCTACTGGCTGCACTAGTCCAAACATGCACATCATTCCCCCATGTACACAGAACAGAATGCTCCCTCTCTGGCAGACACACAAGACACTACAGCCGAGAGGGAATCTACAGGAGAAGAAAGCCTAGACTCAGTGACCTAGACCATGGAGACTTGAAAGTCACCAGCAGGACCTCACAGCTGCTGTCTACTGAGTGACCAGTTAATACATGCTGGGCAAGCTGCAAGATGGTTCAACTTCCTTCTCTAACTCAACTCCAGCCACAATGATACAACCTTGATAGCAACAACTCCTATTGTGTAATGAGCAAGTTAAAGCGGAGGGACTGAGAGTCACCTGCCTTGGCCCTCCAGCTGGAGGAGCTGATTCAAGCCCACTTCCATCTTCACTCCGTAGAGGATGCACTTCCTTCAGCACCAAGTAAACCAGGGCTCCGCTGTCCATGGCTGGACTCCTGGGGCTGCACTCACTCAGCTCAGCACATGCCCTATGTCCACGCAGCTGAGTCCTGGTTCAACTTCCCTTTTGATCTCTGGTATTGCTGCCCTGGGACAGTGGTGTGTTCTCTCTCCCTTGCTTGCCACAGGGCATTCCTTTTTTTTTTTTTTTTAGAGTTTTTCGATGGGGCTGGGTTTGAACCCTCCGGCATATGGGGCCAGTGCCCTACTCCTTTGAGCCACAGGTGCCACCCCACAGGGCATTCCTGCTGCTCTATTTTCCTTAG